TTCATCTGACTGCAAGCGACTGAGAAAAACAAGGAAAAGTTTGGGTCTACTTAATAGTGTACCAATGAGTCATGATTAATTTTACTGTGAACTGATACTCTTACTGACCCAAACTAGATATTTGTAAATCTAAAGTACTTTGGAGAAAGAATGAATAATAATGACAATTATTGCAAAGTGAGTTATGAGATAAAGATGTTATAAACTGGCATCTGATCTAGATTTTAGGTTATCTGGGAGTTTAAATTCAAAATTAGAGTAAGTGTGTGCAATTAGCAAGACAGCAAATTATTATATGAGATTTATTTTTATAAGGAATAAGAATGAATCACTGAACAATTCATTTTTGCTGCTATAAGCTCTTCGTCACAGGAGGATTCTTCCCCATGGAAAGGAAACCTTCCTGAAAGACTTTTTTTTCTTGCTTCCACAGAAGAAATAAACTAAATGTGTGGATCTCAAGAGAAAGATCATTGTTTTATGTAAGAGAATGCTGATTTTGTAATGCTCCCTTTTGGCCTTGCTCTTTTTCAACATGGAAGAGAGATGCTCCCTCTAGAACATCTCTTTCTTTTCTCACAGGAAAACAAGTTTAAAAAAGACACTTGGATGATGTAAGACAATCTAACTCTTAATCTCCACTTAGCATCCTTCCTCTCTGTTTTTTTAAGAAATAATGACATTTTTTTTCACGCAGCTGAGAACCACTGATGATTCTGAAGTGATAGGTCCACTATAAATATTTCCAGACATAGCATGCAAAACTGTGGTGGCTTTATGTCATCTCAGCATGTTTTTTCAGACACAAGATGTCCTAGCCTGCTGAGTTTCAGAGAGTGCTGCCAACCCAGCTGAGGTCAGTGGGAGGCTAAATCCAAAACACAAAATTGGAGAAGGGATGCAGTTGTGTCAGCGAAGATCTTTTCGCTGTAGTCTATTGATTATTTTGTGTTGATTCTTTAGGATTTTTTTTTCCTTTTTTTTTTTTTTTCCTTTTTTCTTTGCTGTTGTCATTAGAATCTAATTTAAGGCATTCCTGTTAAATTAAAAGACATGATTGACTGACTGGTGTCTGAGACACATTGCAGCTGTCAGCTGCAAAGATAAACTCCAGATCGGATGCAAATCTTCCCAAAGATCAAGGGCATTTGGACAAGGAGCTTAAGTGGACCATTCTCTCTTAATTTATAGCAGGAAAGATCTGCTCTCCACTTAAGATTCTGAACAAGAAATGCCTAATATAAGTTTGGAAGTTGAGTCTGACCACTTGAAAGTTTCTCCATTTAATCGTGTAGAATTAGAATACATTGGGTCAGCCTAGCGTGAAAAGCAATTTGTTTTAGTATGTGATCATGATAAGAACCGACTGAGGAGGATCAAAAAGCTCTTTAGAAACTGGATTAAAGGCCTCCCTGAATGACAGCCTCCATGGCATTGAGAAAAGTCCCATGAGCTGCAGCTTTGTTTGCTATAGTTGACTTCACAAAACTCACATGAGGGATTAGGACTGCTCTTAAAAATAAAGACAGATCCTGATACATGACTGAGGTGATAACTATTGGTTATGATAGGAATCAGTAGAGCATGAGCTACTCAAAGGGAATAAAGATCAGACAGGTCCGTAGGCTTGCAAGGCTGCAGCTAAGCCAAACTTTGCTATGTTGGAATAGGTGAGGTTTGTAACCTTCACCCTTGAAAAGCAAAATCACAGAGTCACAAAATGTCTGAAGAAAGAGCATTTGCAGGAGACTCATTGTCTCTGGATTAAGGACAGATGACAACTCATCCTTCATCACCCATGCGGGCTCAGTAGTTGGTTGATAGCTGATGAAAGGGGCAAAGGGTCCAATTGACTTCAGGGGAATTCTGGGCCACATTTCACCTTTGTTACTCACTTTCCAACTTCAGGAACCTCTTCCAAGAGCATATTTGAAATGAGCAGTGAGAAGAAGAGCAGTGAAGCAGCCCATAGGCATGTTATTTCCTGGAAGACATGGATCAATAAGGCTCCATCCACCTGGCTGCAGTAGTATGAGCCATGAGGCATGCCACCAGACCCTGCAGTGACAAAATCCCACTCATGTCTCCTCTTTAGCATCCACAGGGAGCTAAAAGCATTTGTGTAGCCTGTTAGCACAACTCAGCTGCTCTACAGCCATGTCAGCTCTTTCATTTGCTGCAGCCAGACATTTCGGTGTAATGGGCAGAAAAGCCAAGTGTTTAACTCATGGCACAGGCCTTTTTTATGGCTTTTTTTTCCGTTCAAAGAGAGGATGGGTATAACTTTATATAATAGGCCTTTAAACAGTTGTTTACAGCACCACTAAAAAAGACAAATCATTTGGAACACTGAATGACTAGACCCAGGCAAAGGAGGGGAAATTTCTAAAGGTTTATTTGAAGGCCAATAAAGAGGATAAATAACATGCGATTTTTCATTCGTCAGGACCATGCGACAGACGGATAATGAAAAAGGACTATGCCATAAAGTGGGGAATTCCTTTGTCTTGGCTGTAAATGCCTGTGTTGATTTAATAAGTATTCTGGTACTTCTACTCGAGCTGCTCTTTAGCACTCATAAATGAGGTGGAAGTTGAGGAATAAGGAGAGAAAGGAAGTCATCTGTCCTCAACCCTATGAAGAAATATCGCTGTAGTTAAGGATTTGAGCTTGTGTGTTGTTTTCTTTATCTTATATTGACAGTTCTTCTACAGCTGGTGATGAACAAGGTATGGAGAAGTCAAAGGTTGGAACTTACACTATCACTCTGTTAGTTTCTGGGGTGATCCTGGCTAACATCTATTAATGAATTAATCTAAGCAGGAACACTAAGCCCAGACTAAATATTCATTTTGTTGTAATATTATCATCATAGATTTACATCATGAAATATACACTTGTTTGAATAACTGTCCTTAAACTGAGGATCTTATGATAGGTTAGATAGCTAGTTTGGAATTTGCTTAACTGGAGTATATAGCATTTCCTTTTAATACACTGGAGCAATTATGCTTTTTACTTTAAGAATAGAATACATAAAAGCATCTCAGACACATCAGTCAAAAACCTAACCATAATTTGTGTATTCTTCTGTATTCCTCAAGTTCACTCTTCATCAACAAAGGAACACGAGAGAGGAAGTAAAGAAAGTCACAGATAAAGACACAAAGACTTCATGAGCTTTTAAATGTATCTGGTTACAGATATCCTATTGATCAGATCAGGCAAGACATCAGGATACCTGTCCTTGTGCCAGTGGCCTTTCTTGTGACTGAAACACAACCCATTTCCCATCAGAAGACAGAAGAGAAAAGACTAAATGTTTCTGCATGCTGTTTAAAAAAAGGATTCACTGGATAAAGTGACTTTAAAGGGAATGACAGTGCTCTTCAAGGTCAAACGTTTATTCTATGCCTTAACAGCTTCATCCATCCCATCACTAGCTGTGATGTTTGCCAACCTGTGTTGCCACTTTGCTCTCTTTTGTTTTCCAGGTTATTCTTATAACCAAGTACCTAAGCACCTTGCATTCAGCAGCATTCCTGATGATGAATATATGTTTATTCTTACTCTCTCTCTGTCTTGTTGACAACAGTATTAACAAGAGTACAGGGTCTTTTTTTTTTTTTTTTTTGCGTGTGTGTGTGGCAAAAGGAAGTCTTCTGAAGTCCATTCAAGTCATGGAAATATGCTCTTAGAGCCCATGGAGTTGTGCAGCAAACCATAAAATGAAATGATTCATGCTAAAAAAGGAGAGATACAAACATCTGATGAGGACAATTCACAAAGAAAGTGTGAAATTGGGGCACCAAGTGAGCCCTTCCCCAAGGGATGTCCAAAGCACAGACGAGCGAGAGGCAGGGTTATCTCAAGCTTCAGTATTGAGGCAGCAATTCAATTTTTGGCTCCTCATGGCCTTTTCTCTGGGGCACTTCATGAGCCCATTCCTATACAAGGATGCCCTGGCAAATGCCTACATTATGACCTTCTGTCTACCTGAGATGCTGAAGATTCACTTTTCTTCACTGCCTCAGGTATGCAGACAGCACAGCTTCCCACGGCTCAGAGGGGAGTTGTGATCTCCATTGCCCCATAAATTGCAGTAAAAGGAAGCTAGGATGATTTATGCCTGATCGTGGCACACTGCTGAATCTCTTGCATATTTCAAGAAATGCATAACCTGAAGCATATCTAAGGGTAGCTTTGGGAAACTGGAAAAGGAGGAGCAGATGAGGCATCAGAGAGCAACCATTTCTGGGACGAGGGACCATTCCTACTCCTTTCCTCAAAATGGGGAAAAGATTGCTTAGAAACTCCTGTTTAGAGGCATGAGTGTTTGATTCAGCAAATTTTGACTTGCTGAATATGGCGAAGAGCTGATCAATGAAGTGTGTGCCAGATTATCCATCACCTGAAGGGGCTAGATATTCCCGTGCTGTGTCTTCTGACACTGGTAGGCACTCTGTTGCAAGGCTTTGGCCCACATTAGGCAAGTTTGATCTTAGCGGTCAATTCTGTCTTTGACTTTTAAGGATGTCCCACAGAGGCCAGTGGTTCCTGGAAGCAGCTGGGAGACATAGTGGTGATGGATTTATATTTGGACTTGATGGTTATGAAGGTCTTTTCCAACCATAATGATTCTATGATTATGATTCTTGGGTTGAGGGGCCAACAAAACATGGAGAGGATCCATTCCCTCCCCTCTGAGGAGGGAATCTCCCTTATACAGCAAGCAGAGCAAGTCTTTGGTGAGTTAGCAATGGGGCAGTGCTTTCACAAAGGCTGAATCCTTAATAGAGAGTGGGAACAATTGAGGAGAAGTCAATGGAAAGGCAATGCTATTCCCTTCTCCTTCCATATGCTGACCCACTGGACTCATCTGTGATGTATGGCTCTATTGCCCTAAAGGCATCCCTGTTTTGGGACGTGACAGTGGATGTATCCCAGGGTCCCATCTCGCAGCACCATGGATGACGAGGCTTTTCTGGATTTTTGCTCAGGTGGCTGGAAACCGTGGTCGGCTTGGGGCGACTGCACCAAGGACTGCGGGGGAGGCTTGCAGACCCGCATGCGCACCTGCAAGCCCCTTCCCAACGAAGGCCTTGCCTGCGTGGGCGTCCTGGAGGAAGGAAGACTGTGCAATAGGAAAGCGTGCAATAGTAAGTGGACGCATGTTCCCTTGCACGCGTGTGAGCAGTTCGACCTCAAAGCTGATGAAAAAGGGGCAACCTGGGGAGTGTGCAATGCTGGTTGTGCATGGCCTGTCCTTGCCTGTCTTGTGGTCATACATACACACAGACACCCATACACGTGTTTCAACACACATGCATGCGTATGTGTTTTACCCTGCAGAAGAGGGTAAATTTACAGCAATGCCTACATCAATTATTCAAATTCTGCTGCAAAAACTTATCATTGATGGCAAAATATATTCCCTTAAAGGCATTTATTTAACTGTCGGCCTCTCAAGCCTCTCCATGATAAATAAAGCATGCAACTAGGAGAGATGCTAATCTTGCTGCGTGAGTCTCTTTCCAGCTTATTTCACCTTCCCAGTCAAGTTCAATGTTGCTTCCGTTTCCTTTACAAAACTGCAGCCTGCCCTAGTATGTGGAGCCATGTCTGGCTTTAGACACCCCTGGACATAATGCAGGGCCTCAGAGAGGCAAAGTCTTTGGCAGAGACATTGCTCTCTTCCTGAAATGCAGCCTCTTTCCAGGTCCTCTTCTCCAGAGGGCAGGGGACAGATTGTCAACGCCAGTCAGCAGGGAGACATAAATGCGTCAGGCTTATGACCTGCAGCACTTCCAATCTCAACACTTTTTATTTTTTTTTCATGGTAGCCAAGTAGAGTGGAGGATGGAGAAAAACAACAGCAGAAGAATCCCAGCCCAGTAAACGCAGGCGAATGGCTGATGATAATTATGCTCTTCTTTTTACTTCAAATTTGCATTGAAGGATGTTTGAATAATTCCTCCAACTAGGCAAATAACTACAGAAAATTCAACTGTCTTCAGAGGCAGGGAAGTGTGTCCTGATAAAGGGGAAGTTCAAATAGAAGGACATAAATGAATTCCTCTAATAAGGGCTAAAATTATTTCATACATTTTTTTTACTACTTCCATAAATTTAAATCTTGTTACAATTAGACTTTTTTTAAATTACACTTTCTAGTATATTGAATTTCATTTTCTTGACTCATAGTTGCTAATTTCCTACTGAAGTTCGCCCACACTAGGGAAATTTAACTTGGTATCTCCCACACTTGCTGAAAACTTCGGAATCTCAACACAGCTATGGCTTGGAGCCATGAGTGTACAAGTGCATGCATGCGTGGGCAGGGACCTGGAAGTCTCTTGATCTGAAAGGCTGTAATAGGTCATGAAAGCACCTGGATGAAGCTTATTCCTAGAGGAAGGTCCATGTTGGACTTCATGGACTTCATAGAAGTCTATGGTTGTGAAGGTGGAGATGGCATCGGTGGCAAGTAGAGGGGGCTGTGCAGCTCTTCTTGAGACTTGGGAGGATATGGAACAACAGCCAACAAACCTCCCTAGAGTTCTCAATCCTCTCCCATGCTGGATAAATGAGGTGGGGAGAGACAGCAAACTCCAGACTTTCTTCCCAACACATTTGATCATTTCCATAGTTCTCCATGGGACCTGCTTCAATTCCTTCACATCCTTCTTGAACTGAGGAGCACCAGACTGGACATGGTTTTCCAGGCACATCCTCACCAGCACCAGGCAAGGGATACAATGCCTTCTCTTGATCTGCTGGCTATGCTCTTCTCAACATGTCCTGGTATTCAGCTTGCTTGGTTTGCCAAGAGTAAGAGTGCTTTCCTGGGCTGTATTCAGCCTGGCATCTCCTTCATCACCCTGGTCCTCTTCAGTGGGTCTGCCACCCAGATCTTACCGAAGATCTTGCACATCTTCATGCTGGTTCTTGTGAGGTTTCTACTGCAAGAATGGGTGAGGAAGGGCCATGTTTAGCTAGGGAGACTGGAAATCTGGGCTTTGCTTCCAGCTCTGCTCATTGTATGAAGCAGAGCAGTGAGGGGCCAATTGTTATTTACTGGAGTTTTCTGGAGTGTGACACCAAGACAAGCTGGTCCTAGCTACAGAATAGTCTGGCTGTGTCACGAGGCTGTGATTTGATAAATGTTTTCACTTGTACTCCTGCCTTCCTTCCATTACACGTACAAGTATTGCTCTAAATTAAAGCAGGATTAGTCTGGCTGAGCTTATTGCAGGAGAAAGAATCTTGACCTGATTGGACAACCCTTATTTGGAAAGAGAGAACACATCCATGAAGTGAGGCAACAGAAATTGACTTATCCTTTTAAAATACATAAAAATAAGTTAATTCTGATTGATTATCCTAACTTTTAGACAATCCCCTGAGATCTACAGTGATGCTTTAAAGCTGGCAATCTAGAAAGGATTTGAGGGAAGATGTAAGCAGTCATTTGCCCACTGCACAGCTTGAGGTCTGAGTTGCTGACTGAGAAAGATAGCTTAGGATAAGACAGAAACCACCACTATCGCCTTTAAAATAAGCGCAAAGCCATGTCTTAACTTCCCCTTGATATCTTCTGCCTCACTGCTTCACACTGATGACCAATTAGTCGGAGTGTTTCAGATCTGAGAAAGAGAAGAAAACTGGAATGAAGATACATCCCAAACTGGAAATGGAACTCTTTTTTTTCTGGGAAAAATAGTCCTGCTTGTGCAAAGGAGTTGTTTTTCATAGCATCCATTTGGCTCAAGAGAGCTATCTGTAGGACAGCATTCAGTGTTTGCTATAACTCTTATTATTCCTTGCTAGAGGCAGAGAATCCAGTGATATCTTTCTCTCCAGTACAGACAGGGGAGATTTCCTCCATCTGTTGCATTTGGCCAGAAACTGATGTTTTGTATAGAAAATAAAATAAAATAAAAACGCCGGCCCAAGAAGCATGATGGAAAGTGCTTGCAGAGCAACTATCTGGGCTCATCCCCTTTGGATCAAAGGGATCACCACTGTGCTCCAGGGGCCCTGATCAGCTGTGCATTGCTAAAAGCTGCAATTTCTGACAAACTGGCACATGGAGAGCCCCGAAGGGGAAAAAAATGGATGGGCAAAACAACAGGACAGCATCCAAATCAGGATAGCAATGTCATGGGTCTGACCCCAATGCTGAGATTCAAAAGTGCTGGAGAAATGCAGGAACAATCAGAGATGTAGGCGGCCCTGCACTGATTCCTGGGGAATGAAATCAGCAGAGGAGCCAGCTGAAATCCTGCCATTCCATCTGGCAAAGGCAACGCAAAACCATCCCTGACATTTATGAATATGCGGATCAGGCAAATACACCTCCCCTCATCTGGGAGATGGATGGCCACATCCTGCCCTTTGGTGCTAAAGCATTGTGGTCTCGTTGAGCCTGCTGGTTTTCCAGCATGGGAAGTGAGATCAGGATGTGATCCTTCAGCTGAATAAACATCAGTAGTGTGAGGAAGCGCACGTTCCACACGACATTCAAAAAGGCTGTGTCTCAGTGCTGTTTTCTGCTGCCCCTGAACTGCATTAAAAATAGCCCTTTTGCTGCAACCACAAACAGAGCTGAAATATCCTGGGTGTGCGTGTGTCTGTGTATGAGAGCATCTTCGTTCCCTGCAGGCAAGGCTAGAAACCATCGCAAGCTGGAACAGCATCTTGTCCTATATGTAACTGCTGCTGCTCGGAGTGACTTAATCATGTTCCCCCTTCTGCTGCTGCTCCGAGTAGATCCTGTCTGTGGGTTCTGGGTCTCACAATGACATTTTCACAACTCTCCAGTGTTCAAAATAAGAGTCTTTGGGCCATGTCCTTAGCTGGCACAAATGCTATGCATCCAGTGGTTTGCAGGGTAACTCTTTTATGCTAGTGGTAAAGAACATCTTAAATATATGTTTGTTAGCAGGCAATTCTGCCCTTCAGTTTTATGCAATGAGTAGTTGTTAGGTGCCTGAGAAGCTCCATAGCTTACAGCTTCTCCTGTGGTTTTACTACACTTGAGATATATATACATATTTTTAAGTTGTTTCTTTGCACTCCATCCCTTCTTCCCTCCTTGAATATTTTTCAAAGCCTGGCTCATACTGCTCTTTTGTTTGTTCTTCCTGTTTGATGGATGAATATAGAGGGAAAAGAGTGTGGCTTTGGGGGACGTGCTTGAACATTACAGACTAAGCTCAAAACACCGCAAAATCTTTGCATTAGATGTTTTTCCTTTGGCTGTGTTGGAAAGACTATCTATCTGATGAGTATGCTCTCATCAGAAGTATTGGTCACCAGCTTCCTTTTCCCTTTCAGCTTCACATGATTATCCTTCCCTGCTTGCCTTCGCTGGTTTTGGTTTTTGTTTTTCTAAAACCTCAATTACTTGCCTTCTGCTTGTGATTGACACTTCTCTGGGTACCCTCCAGCAGCATTATTTCTCTAGTTCTCCAACTAGCTTCTCCAAAGTGTCTGGTATATCCCCCATGTGCCACTCCAGCTCATTTCAATGGCTGGATTGCAAGTCACATCTGGGACTTCCTTTGATGCTGGTGTTGCTCCTCCCTGTTGACCCCACAGCAGAAAGCAAGGGGCCGAAATTCCCTGCTTTGTTCATCATGCAGCATCCAACTGGTGCATAAACCCACCACAGAGCTTTGTTTATACTCATTTCATCCCGTGTATAAACAATGCAGCTTCTCGCAGCTTCATTCTGTTGGGGCTGATTTTCACATATTTATTCTTATTAACTATTCAAATTAAATCTGTGCCAGGCTCCATGCTAAATGGAGCCTGACATGTCTCTCTGAAACACCTTTTCCAAGGGCTGGAAATCTTGTTTACTGCAACTAGGCAAGTCTAGCATGATCTCGGAGCTCATCCCTGATGGAGAAGGCTCAGGGTGAGCTGCTAGCCCTGATCACCTTTAATTAGGACAAGTAGTAACAGCATGGGGCTGTCACATGTGCCAGGGAGCAAGGGGAATTGTGCAGCACACCCAAGAGCAGAATGAGTCATTAAAACACATGTTCCCTTGAGAGTAAAAGTCTTTGGGGAGCCAATGTGGGAGCTAAACCACCTTGGTAATATCTCCTTCTTCAGACCAGGAAAACATCTTTACGTGCTTCCAAAAGAAGATGGATTTGTGGGAAACTGACTGCATTGAACTTTGTTTGTACTTTGATCCTTTGTTTTTTTCAATCTTCCCTCCTTCCTTCTGTCCTGCCTCTCTGTCCATCAATCTGCCCATTGATGCTCATCAGCTGCTGCTGCTGAATTCAGTCCCAAGGCTTCCTATCACCTTCTCTGCCCTAAGCATCCAACAAATCCATGCAACTGCCACATTTGCACTTTTCTACCCAATTTGCTTCTCCTCCCAGATAATACGAACCACTGGGGACCCTTTGGGATTTGCAATTGCCTGTTTGTTGTTGTTGTTTTTTTTCAGGGATTTGACCCTTTTAACAAAAGGACTCAAATCAAAGTAGATCGAAATATGCGGTGTTAGGTGGAAGGGATGGATCAGGGTTTGAGATGTGTCTGGTACCTTAGAGAGCATGGATCTAATTTAAATCATCCCCTAAGTGAACTCTGTACACAAAATATTGGAAAAACGCTAGAAGACACTTACACAGAAATGTCCCATGGCTTTGCAGGTATTAAAAACTTAAGATCTGCCTGTTTCTATTTTAGGAAAGAACCTGGAAAATTAATAAATAAACAAATAGCTAGCACAGATGTAGGCAGGTGAATGTCCATCTCATTTCTGAGAAGAGTCTGTGCTGGGAAGGTTTGGAGTCATCAGCATCATCTAGGCCCTGCTTTGAGGACAACATAATGGGGCATAATGGGGAATTTTCTTCACAGTTTCACAACTTAGATGGGCCTCTCCCATGAAGCAATCTGCTGAATGTAAAGTTTGGCTCCTGGCGGGGACTCTCTGAATCATTCCTCTCCCTCCCCTGCTTTCCCTTTTGGGATGGCAATAAAGACTCCTGCCACCACACTGGAGCTTCATTAACCTTTATTAATTTTCCCACGGTTCCAAGATCAAATTTGTCACCATTTCATCTCTTTAAAGTGTGTACTTCTTGAAAAGATGTCGTGCTGTTTTGTCTCCTTGCGTGAAAAGAAAAAAAAAAGAAAGAAAAAAAAAGAAAAAAAAAGATAAAGATAAAAAGATTCTCTGTCTGGTACCTGCTGTTTGGAAACAAACAGGTTGCCAGATCATAGACAGCTAGAGCTCAGATCTGTTTACTGTTCTGCTACATGACTCTGATGGATTCATCTGTGCTCTGCTGACGTACACAGCAGCCCTCGTGAGTGGGATTCAGTTGCTGTTTCTTGGGTGCTTATATCTTTACTACTGGTTTGGAAGGAACAGGGATGCCTGCCATCCATTGGGAACTGAATTCGGATGAAGGCTCTCACTGCACAGTGGTCCCAACATCACGGTCTTCATCAGAAGAGCTTCATTGATTGTTAGACATCAAACATGAGCTTTACTTGTTCACCTGCACTGCAAAGATGCTCAGTCTTAGCTCTGTTGGTCCAAAAGTATCTTGCTGACAGCAAGGCACCTTCACTCCTCTTTGCTGGTGGTAGCTTAGGGTCTGAGAAGGAGACAAGCTTTTCAGTCACCCCTTTTTTTTTCTGATCTTCCCTCATATGCCTGCTTCACTCAGCATTTTCTGGGTGCTCTACAGAGCATTGCTAAGGAGATAACGCTTTGCAAGACAGAGTTTCACATATGCCAAAAAAAAAAAAAAAAGAAAAAAGAAAACAAGAAAAGCAAACAAACAAACAAAAAACCAGACTATCAGTGCCAGTCTTCTCCATAGATCTCATAACACTGTCAAGGATGGTGGGATTCACTGTCAGCCTACCTAAAAAGGATACCCTCCACAAGTCCCTAAGGCTATCCAGTCCCTCTGGAGGCTCTTCCTGGAAAAAAAAAAAAAAAAAAAAAAAAA